CAATAGCCCCCTTAGAGAACATCTAAATCTGCCCCTGGGAACCGTTCTGTGACAATAGTCCCCTTAGAGAACATCTAAATCCGTCCATGAGAACTATTATGTCGGGATTTATAATCGTTAGATCATCATGTAATCATCGAGGATAGTTGATCTAACGGTTACAAATCTCGACGGAATGATTCCGTAACAGGACCGTAGCATCTCCTGAAAATAACATGACTAATTTACTGACTATTTTTTCATTTGGAAATGTTTATAAACTTACAAGTTGTTCCAATACACGTACGTGAAATACGTGGAGAGACTAAAAATGAAAAAAAAAAAAATAAATAAATAAATAAAATTCAACGAGCATAATTTGGGATATCATAATTACTCGCACATACTAGTTAATGCCTTTTTATTAATTTTTGACATTTTTTGACACAATGATGAGCACATAAACATTTTCTATAACTAATCTCAACTGTTATTACACCTGCCGACATATATATATATCTATTCACATCTCAATCCCTACAATATTCGTAGTTTCTTTTAGTTACAATCTCTTTGGAATAACAGAAATAATCACTAAAATTATAAATGATATGGTGTGGATGAATATATATATTTAAAAAAAAAAAATGGGAGGAAAAATAATAAAAAAATAATAAAAAAAGATAGGAATTAATCAAAGAAGAGAGAATAGGGCAAAAGATATGTATATGGTGAGAGGCTTAAAAAGGTTATTGAACTTGGAAGTCAAGAATAGGAAAAGAAGGAACATCTTTCATCAATTCCTCCAAATCCCAATCCCCAACTCTTAGTTCTTCTTCTCCCCAACACCCCCCTAAATTGCCTAGTTCCTCATGATTTTGATCACTTTCCACTTTGATTTTGTTAATGTTACTTTCACTTTGGTAGTTAACGATGTCACCCATGTTATTACCAACGATGTTAGGGTTACCATCGCTCCGAATTTCCCCTAAATTGAATGTTTGGCGAGTCTTATCCAAACGAGAAACATCCAAGAGATGCCCTTCCAAGCTGATTATAATGTCGTTATCCCCACTGCCAAACAACCCTTGGTTTGCGTTGGTAGTATTTGTACCCTGTGCATTGACTGGTTGTACGTTTAAGTACGAGCCATCGCTCGGGATGAAATGGTAATTGGGTGTAGGATAGGGATTATGGTACATTGGGGCAATGGGTTGATGATGCATGGTTGAATATGAATATGATGATGACGATGATGATGAAGATGATGAGTCGATGAGCATGCTCATGATGATGTTGTGTTGTTGCATGAGATTGCCATCTTGAAGCTCATCCATGGCGGCCTCTAAAGATGAGTCGGCCGCATTTGGAGATGAAGAAGATGTCGCTTTTAATCTTTTCTTTATTGTGGAATTCCAAAAGTTCTTTATTTCGTTGTCAGTACGCCCAGGTAGACGTGCCGCGATTTGAGACCACCTGTGGTGTTTGTAAACAAACAAATATCAAATAATAATATTATGATACAAAGAACTAGGAAAAAAAAAAAGAAGCTAAGATTAATGATTTATTCCATAATATAACGTTTACAAAGCTATATATGTAGCATTAGTGCATGTGCCTTAGGAAGTTGATTACTTAGTTGACAAAAAATCAATTTCATGATAACTAACCGTGAAATTACTATTTTGTCCCCATATAATGTAATTTTGAAGTTTTCCATTTCAATCAACTTATCTTCATAACAAAAAAATCTTGAATTACCTATCAAAGTAGTTGATGTCAAATTAATCATAGTATAGATATGATTTTTTGGCATCTAAATATATAAACGTTATATCATTGAGTATATATATTCTCATTTAACATTGAAAAATGATTGATTATGCTATATTGTATATATGTTGGATGCGTAACGAACACCGAGCACACATTTAGAAATTAGAAATGTTTATATAAATTACTTATGAAATAATAAAATAATTGTAGATATTAATCGGAGTACGTCCTTGAAAATCCCATTTAAAATTTAATGAACATACAAAATAATGTCATCAAACTTCATACTTTCATTAAAATTATTATATTATTTATGACCTATTAATTAATTAAAGCAAGATTTTAATATTAATAATAAAATAGTTAGTAATTTCAACGCAATTTGGTGTATTTGTTACGAGAATTGACTAAAAAATAGAAAGTTTATGTCATCAAACTTTAAGTTTTTATTTTAAATTATTTATATCATTAACCTATGAATTAACCAAAAGGAAGTTAATTGGAGACAAATTTAATATAAACAACACAAAAA